ACCTGGCGCCCTTCACCCATTTGACCCCCAATGTCTGCGGGGCCATCGCCTGCCAAATCCATTCGCTCGCCACATACATAGTCGACGTTCATTTAACAGCCTCGCACCTATCGACCTCGGATTGCAGAGACACTGGCACCCCTGGGGAACATGATTATTATATGTTCAGTGAAAGTGGCCCCAAATTCCCCTCATTCAAATGCACAGCTTTCCAAAGTTCCTGGCTGGTTTTGTGGTTTCACCAGGCCATTCATAGTCTCGCTCGCCCGAGCAATTCATCCTTTCCATGGAGGCCCATCACGACAATGTCGGTCGCATGATCGCTGCTGTTTTCGACGAAGACCAGGCGCACCTGTGGCGCACCACTGCCGCTTGGGCGATTGCCTGCGCGACGCTCTTCGTCACAGTCCTTGAAGGACTTCCGGCCGTGCTCCCTGCGTTGGGCCGCCTGTCGCGTGAGCAGCGCCTGCAGCTGTCGCAGATGACGGTGAACTTTTGCGACCATGCCATTTTGGGTCCCATGGCAGTCCATGTGATGGTCAATGGCAACATGAAACTGGTGAGCGGCACATCGGCGACCATCGATTGGATCTCCATGAGTGTGCTGGGCTTTTGCACCTATGATCTCACCGTGCGAGTGCTGTTCTGGCGCGTGTTGTGGCGCAATTCGTATTTTGCACACCACGCGCAGTCGGTGATCTGCTTGGGGACAGCCACACTGGTGCAGCTGTTGGGCTTTGAGCGCGCTTTCGCTTCCTCGCTGATGTTGGGGGACATGCTGACCTCTGGGCGGGTCGTGCTGAAGCTGTGTGACGCATCGGGATTCAGCGAGACCTCCTTTGCCCAGATGTACGTGTACCACTCCGAAACTGTTTTCTTTGTTTTTCGCATCTTTTGGTGCTTTTGGGCTTTGGGATCTTGTGGCGCTTCTTCACGGATGCGGAGGCGTCACCGCTGCTTGAGAAGCTGGCTGGGACATGGGGATGGTGGCTCATTGTTGGCACATTCTTGACTTTCGTTGTGTTGTGTCTTTACTGGCTCAGCAAGAAGCTCAAAGGGATCCAGCGGCGCCACCGTGAGTCGGCCCAGCGGGCCAAGGATGGTGTGAGTCCGGTGAGTCCTCAAGGTGGTCGCAACCAGCATGTCATTGCGTTCGGACTCCTCGCGGGAGCAGCGTACCTTGTGGTCTTCTCATTCATCCTGTTGTCGACGGACATTGTGCGTATGCTTTCTCTGAGCTGCACGGCTGGGGCTGGGTTGCGGGTGTTCTGCATGGTGCACCGGCACCGGTGAGTTGAGGTTGTCATATATTATATGATGCCCTGGAGAGCCGTACGTGGCACTCTTGGACCTTTTCAATCGTGCGGCTTGCGATGGAGGGAAAGGAACGTTGTGACGTCCTCCAGGACAGCACAGGAGCTTTGAAAGGTCCACCACGCGCGGCAATTGAAACAGTGTTGCAGTTCCCGCGTTGCAAGAGACAGATCAGGGCCCAATCAGCGCTTGGAATGGAATACCCCCCTGTATATCCAGGGCTATGATTTGTCATTTGTCCCATCAACATTTATATATTTATGCTTCGTCTTCACGAGTCAAGACCATGAGCGGCAAGTACCAGCGTCGAAAATCACCTATTGGCCAGCTGTGAAATCCCACCAGTCACTAGCAGTGGAAACGTAAACAACCATTTCACCTCCGGTGCACTAGTACGTACATTGATCCCCCCAACGGGGAAGATGGACTACTTCACCAGAAGCGCGAACGTGCCACTGTACCCGTAGAAATGTCACAACACCGCAAAACACACCACTGTCACCAGCAAAAGTGCAATTGTACGTTGGACGCGTTCTGACCGAGTGGATCTCAAACTCGCAATATTTGGCAACATGCGCATGCACTATCAAATAAAGTTTGAGTCTTTGTGCCGCGATCGCCGTGGTTCCTTTTACTTCCACGTTGTCGGGCCACCGTTCATCCCCCAGCTTTTCAATTTTTGCTAACTTTCGTCAAGCCCACGGGCCCAGCCAGAACTGAATGCTGCAAGCGCTGGAAAGACACGCCATATTCAAGGAACTTGGAAACGCCTTGGTGTGATCCAGGCTGCCACACAGAGTCACAAGGTGACTCTTCCGCTGTCCCGCTGCTGTTGAAAAGTAGGATGGGCTTGGCCCCTGGTTATTGGCGCAACCTTTTTTGCTCAAAGAGCGCCGACAACGTCGGCTGGATTCCAATCAGCCCTCACTCAGTTTCGCCCTCAGAAGTTTCCAGAATAAATTGCATGAGTAGCAAAGAGGTCAGACAAATGCTGGAGACAAAGAAGTTGGCGGGCACAGTTCGACATTCTGGCCAAGCTGAGGTCAGGAGCTTTGCCCAAGACGATGCGACAGATTGAAGTCATAGGTGCGCAAAGTGTGCGATTTTGTTAGCATACTTTGTGAATCTTTGGCCAGCTGGAGCTGGACCTGTCAGACCGATGAAGGACCAACTGAGCTCTCAAAACAGAGCAGGACGTTGGACAGATTCTGCTCTATGCAATTGCGAAGGGCGGATAGTAAGGGCCCTCTAGTAAGGCCCCTTCAAGGGCCTGATCAAAGGAGGCCCTTATCTTTTTTTCCCGAATACTTAGCGAAGGCTGCGAAGGGTTCTCGTTTAACTCTGGGGGTCTGGGGGTAGAGCCTTGTTCGCGACTCGTTGTTGTAGCGTCCGCAACCGTTGTCAGCCGTCCGCAGTGTTGCGCTATGGCGCTTAGCTTGGGCGAAGCTTTTGGAGAGGAGGGTTTTGGAATGCGTGGTGCCTCAAATAATTATTCCAAGGGTTATGTGGGTTACTGGAATAAATAAACTTGAATATTTATTTGGGGGACGCCGGGGGGGTCTGGACCGTTGACAAAGAAGTGGAATCGTTTTCAAGAGTAGATATATATATATAGTTAAAACGAAGATGAACACCATGAGGATCAAAACAACGCCCATGAAGAAAGAAAGACAAACATGAAGGGATTTAAAGAATACCTCCCAGAAGCAATGCTAAAACCAGAGTGAATCCAGAGAACAGCAGATGACCTAGGATTTGAACACTGAGAAATTTCAGTTTTAGACAACATAGGCAACCAAAGGCAGAAAAGCAAAACAAGATAGAAATCTCACAGGCACCCTCATACTGGTGTGCTGGAATTACCTACCATTTATTGCAGATTGTGATGATGGACTTGGAGCACTATCCCACTCTGATGTTCTGGCATTCTATTGGCGAGACATTTCCTGCATCAGTTTTTTTACAGACCCATATATATATACTTATATAACTTTTAAGAAGCCAGACAATCTAGCTTACATCTATACATATATAGGTGTTTTTAGTTGTTTATGTAACATCTATTGAACAGTATTCCATCGAACGTTGACATACTGGAATACTATTTGAACATGATGTGGAAGGGGTCGTGAATAATTTCAAAATTATTCTGAGGTATGTTGACATGGTGTCCCTTTAAGGCACCAGCTATGTTTTGGATGGAAGCATGACGTGTCAGATGTGGAACCGTGAGAGGATGAAGTGTTGAGGCTGATTTCACTGTGCAGGCGCAGCGTTTTGTGAGATCCACAGTCTTCTGCTGGGATTGGCGTTTAGAAGGTTTAGAAGGCTGTTTCATTGGGGTGCTGGATGTGGCTGTGACATTGGGATTTGCGTTTCAGGCTGTTGCTTCGAAGCTGTGTGTTCGTTACAAGCCTCAGTCTCAGCAATGGCGATTTTTAGTAGGCGGGGGTGTGCTCAGAACGTGTCGAAACGTGTGGTGTGGTGCAAATTTTGCTGAAGCTACGAAGATATGATATTGTCACTTTTTGTGGCAGGTGCAGTACTTCACGCGGGCTTTGAGGTGTGGAACGGCAATTTAGGGAATCGTGAGGTTGCAAGGTGTGGCGGAGGTGAATGTCGCTGTGACATTGGGATTGGCATGTGGGCGGGTGTTGTTTGGAGGGGCTGGAATCGCGAAACTGCTTGGCAGGGCTGCTTGATGTGTGTGTGTGTGTGCTCCGATGGGGCTTCCGGCTTCCCAGCTTGACTGTTGGAGGAAGTCTCGTACGGAATGCTTGTTTTGGCGGCTTGACGCGTGAATTTTGGAAGAAGAGTTATACGAAACGCTTGCTTTGCAGACTTGAAGTGTGAGTTTTTGAGGAAGTCTCGTGCGAAACGCTCGTTCTGCAGACTTGACATGTGACTCTTGGAGAAATACCAGTACGCCAGATCCTCGTAAGAAACAGACCAAACAAGAAACGCACTCCAGATTCTTTCGTGCAAACGTATCTTTAGCAAACGTAGTGGCAACATGTGGCAGTTGCCAGATCTTCGCAAATCGCCAGAAACGCTAGTTTTGGAGCAGTGCCCCACAAGAGTGTCCTACAAGAGTGTCGCACACGAGTGTCCTACAAGAATGTCCCACAAAGTGTCCTACAGGAGTCTTTCGCTAGAGTGCCCCACAAGAATGCCATACAAGAGTGTCGCAAAAAAAAAGTATCCCACAAGAATGTCCTACAAGAGTGTCCCACAAGAGTGTCCTACAAGATCCCATGATGCTCTATGAAATGCCAATCTCTATCCTCTATGAAGTGCCTTTTGGGTACCCATGTGCCCTGGATGTTGTCGAAGATGTCCCGAGGGCATTTTATAAAGACCTCTGGTGCCACATATTGGTGCCAGCAGCTTTGCGCACTAGAAGTATGTCAGCCTGAGAATTTTGTAGAACGGGAGGCTGACATGTGGACGATGCAACCCTTCGCCTGGATAGGCATTTTTTAACAACGCCAACAAATCTGAAACTCTAGACTCCTGCCCTTAATCTCTCTGGCACAAGGTTTGCGCCAACTGGATTTCAAAAAGAGCTGCGCTGTGGTTCCCTGAGCTCGACACTGAACACATTTGCGCCTTCTAGGTTCCAAACACCAAGTCAAACGATGAGAAGGATGCACAACAGGCCCAAGGAAATCCGCGCTGCTGGAAAAGCAAGGTTTGCCAGCTAAAACCGAAACCTTGTGTTTACCCCAATAAGCCCCAAAATCGTGAGCCCACATCGTGTGCAGCACCGCCTGCTGCCATAATCCTGAGACAAAGCAGGACCCCCCAGGTGATGAGATGCGTGACATGCAAAAACTGAATGAGCTCACTCTTAGTGGCAGGCTTGGGTCTACTCTGTACTTGCAACGGTTTACTGATTCCTGGTTCCTTCTGGCTTAGCCAGAATCTGGCGACCTCAATGAACCGTGTCTGGATCCTATGCGCCCTAGCATCTACCCAGGTCAGCATTTCCTGCTTAGCTCTCAGGGTTAGTGATTCGGCAAGCTGATCGGCAAAGGAAGAAACCACGCGATCAGCCTGCGCGTTAGCTTGGTGCGTCCATTGCTGGTCTGGAAACCGTCGTTCATGTTCTGGCTTTGACAGGTGAGAGCGAGTCCAGTGAATTTCCACATCAGCCAGTTCCTTTTTCTGCCCAGCTAAGGACCCCCAGATATATATCCAAGTCGGCAGACAGCTGGGTGATGTCTTTGAGTTTCTTCCATTTCCTAAAAACAGTTTTGGCATTGATGCAGCTTTCAACTGGGCCTTCAGTCATTTCTAGCAGCTTGAGAAGCGCAAAAGAACTTCTGCTCTCGGCACTGTTTGTCGGCCTGGTATGGTTCCTACAAGACTGCCGACAACAGAGTGAGGGCTGGAAACTTCAAGGGCCACCACACCATATCCAACCTGCCGCAAGCGTGGCTCCCTACTCAAAGGCCCTCCAGAACCATCTGTGGCAAATATAAGGCCGGCAGTGGACACAGGATCACATTGGCCCAGATGCCAGTACCTTGAAGGTGCTGTGGGCCAGAGCTGACTTGGCTCCAAGAAATCGGAGGAATGCCTTGCGCCAAAACTCAGTTTCGTCCACATGGGGCGCCCATTCGGGCGGCACATTCCCTATATGACGCAACATCGCTGGGCACTGCCAAGGTCTGTGGAACAAGCCGTCATCTGTGCTGCAGAGAGGGCATGGTTCGAAACCAGTCTGGCTTCCATGGTAAAGGCCTCCCTGCAGCATCAAATCCAGAAGGGGTAAGTCACTCCCTTTCTTTTTGGCTAACTGCTTCCTGTGTTTTTTGGCCACAAACAAGTCTCCGCCTTCTTTAAGGCCTTGACCTCCTGGCAAAATGCAAACCTAACAAGTCCTTGCAATACTGGAAACGTTCAGCGAGAAACGTTCAGCAAAACGCCAGTAGAAGTCAGGGTCCCTAACATCAACTGGCCAGCTTTGCCGAGCGGGGTCAGGCCAAGTTTCCAAGTCATGAGCTTCCCACAAAGCGTCTTTCAGGTATGCAAGACCAGCAACGAGTGGCCCCTTGACTATGGACCAGCAGACTTGCTTGGCAAGGCTTTGCCAAACTTGATTGCACATCTTCATTTGGGTCTCTGCCTTTTTTTGAAAGAATTTGCAAAGCTGCCTGAAATGTTCCAGTGGGATGAAAATGTTTGGGTCACTCAGGCATCAAA